CAATGTTGCAGTAGATGATTGTTAAGTGGCAATGTAGATGATTGTTCATGTGATGTTCTAACCGGCAAAGTTAAGCGGTAATGTTAAGTAGTTTCTTTGTACAATAAGCAGTTTCTTTGAATGTGAAGTGCCAGTCATCATATTGCTAATGATCATCAACAGTTTCTTGGTACAATAAGCAGTACTAGCTTCGAATGTGAAGTCCCAATATGTGATCGGCATAATAGAAGAGAAAATGGCATTAAACTGCTCAATTGGACTAAATTTGGCATGAGAAGAAGACCATACATGATCATCCACTAAAAGAACCACACCCAATTAGGGTTGTCCTCCACTTCAACAACAACAATTGCTATTGGAAAGTTGCAATTATTTGGATCTACACCAACAGCTGCAAGTAGTTGACCTCTGTACCTTGTTTTTATGTGGCAGCCATCAAGGAAGATCACTGGCCTGCAACCCAAAAGGAATCCTCTCTTGCAAGCATCCAGACACATATATATAGCTTATTGAACCTTGCATTCTCATCAAGTGAGACATAAAATGATGAGCCAGGGTTGCTTCTCCTGACTTCATTAGCATAATTCCAAAGAAGCTTGTACTGCCCTTCTTCATCACCATATACTATTTTCATTGCCATCCTTCTAGCTCTCTACAACTTCATCCTGCCTGGTGTCATATGCCATTCTTTCTGAACAACCCTAGAAAAATTCATAAGGTTCATGTCTTGATCAGCCCTGAACATCTCTAGGTACTTATGTGCTAGGAATTTAGCTGTGAAAGCCCTAATCTTCCACTTCTTGTTGCATGTGTGCTCACTCACATATCTTTTCACCATGAAAGCAATAGTCCTTTTGTCATATGATGCCCACAAGTACCATGTGCAGTCTTCATCACACTTTGCTTTCAACCTCTTCCTGTCATTCACGGGCAACTTGATATCAACTCTGTTCTGACATAAGTACTCTTTGGTGGCAGTCCTTAACAGCTCTACACTCTCAAACACCTTCCCAACATGAAACTTTGGCTTATGAAGATCCTCTTCTCTGAAGGATTTGAACTTCAAATTGAGCTCTTCATCATCTGAATCAGGAGCCCACAAATCATCATTCTTTGACATGTCTTCATCAGAGTGGTATGCTTGTTTTCCTTTCTGTTGTTTGGTAGGAACTACTCTATCTTTCCCTTTTTGCCTTGCTTTCTCATTTGATTTCTTTTCATCTCTCTGCTTAGGTTCATCCTCATCTACATTATCTGCATATAAATCATCATCATCATGTCCTACCTCATTGTCACTGTCCACAAGCATATCAGGTTCATAATCTTCATCATCCCTACTTGCTCCATCCTCTTCTTCCATTGCATAGTTCACCTGGTTTTGCCTGGCACTCCTCCTCACTCTCAGATTTCCACCTGCATCACCTTCTAGCTCTGCATGTTCTTCATCTCTTTGATTACCATCCTCTATCTCAAATGATGCCCTCTTAACAAACTTAAACTGGTTGACATCCTCCTCCTCATCACAATCAGGATACGCAACTTGAATAGGAATATGTGCCACATGTGTCTCTGCTTCCTCTCCTTTTCCCGCCTCTGCTTCTAGTTGAACTTCTCCATGCTCTGCTTCTGCCTCACCTTCTCCATGCTTTGCTTCTGCCTCAGCATTCTCTACATTCTCTGCATTGCTATGAACTCTTCTTGTTGGGCTGAAAATTGGTGGCAGAGTAGCTCTTGGATGATTCACAACATCATCCTCACTAAGGTTTGCACAGAAGCTATCATCATGATCCAAAAAGAGACTGAAAAAGTGGTGACCAATATCAAGAAACATTAGCATTCTGGATGCCTGTTCATCATTAGTAATTGCCCTGAGACCATTTCTGCTAAGTGTGAGGATGGGGACACAACAGAAAACCTTAACCCTCCCTGCCATCTCATAACCTAGTTCTTCCACAAGATTTTCAATCATAATAGGAGACCAGGTGACCCTTTCAACTTGATCATACCAAATGGCACGTCCATCTACATAAGAACGGTTACTGCCTTGGCCAATAAAAAATCCACCATGGTTGATCTGCACCGAAAAATTGCTGCTTCGACGACCTGACAGAACAACAACAGCAGTATATGCATCACAATCGATGATATCTTCAATTTGGTAACCTCTCAAAAACCCTAAGCCCCAATTCCCTTAACCCCCAATTCCTGACTGAAAACCCTAGAACAATCGGTCCTACCATGCAACTAGAACACATCTATGATGGAAATGCGGCCCTAAAAGGAGGTCTTTTGACGATCAAAACGCACAAAGAGGCTCGGGTTCCATTGGGGGCGGATACTTACTGTACACAGGGGGTGGCGCCCTTCTGCGCGGCGAACGGGGCCCATCCCCGACGCCTCCGACGAGAAGAGCACGCCCGGCGGCGCCGTCCGTGCAACCGCTGACGAGCTCCATGCCTCAACTCGCCTGCACCGTCGACGATCGCCGGGGGCGGCGGCGTCGCCTATGCAGCAGGCGCTCCCCTGTTTCTAATCGAAGACGAAGAGGCGACGTGACTGGAGGAGGGGTGAATGGATGGATTCCGTTGTGGCCAGGAGGCTAAATGCAAAAGAGCGACGGCGACGCCTCCGCGGTTCGCCACCTGGCTTGGACGACTGGTCAACACGTGGTCAACAGCGCTATACCCATCGTGTACGTGCTACAGTGACCGCATTTTCACGCCACATCGTATTCAGTGACCGTATCGAGCGTATTCCTAAGTTCAGTGACCGTATCGTTTCTTCAGTCGCAACTATAGTGACCATAAGTGTATTTATCTCTTTAGGTTGTAATATGGACTTCCCTCTGTGTGAGGAGAAGTCACGGCGCCCCTGCGAAGTCAAGGAAACGCAAGCCGCCGTACCACTTCCGTGCAAAACGCTACCAAACTTGGGAGTCCATGCAAGAAAGGCGCAAGGAAGGAATGCAACCGAAGTCGGGAGGACGACGGCGGGTCGATCGGCGGCCGTGAGCGAAACACCGGCCGACTAGGCTACACGCATAGGCCGTCACCTAGAGAAGCAACGGGCAATGCTTTGCCTTACTCCGTTGGTGAAGCAACGCAAAAAAAGATGACTAGCAACGAAACCTTCCTTTGCTTGGTTTACTTCCCGGCCTGGCTCACTCCACCCGTTTGCTTGCCACCTTAAAGAAAGCAATGCAGATGGATAAGCAGATGACCGGCCGCCCCGGCGTGAATCCATCCATCTAAAACCCCTGACCCGAAGCTAGCAGAGTGGCCGGAGGCACCATGGGGCTGTGCTCGTCGGTGCTGCGGCGGAGGGCGAGGAACCGGCATCCGGAGCCGAGGCGCGGCACGCCGACGGCGATGTACGTCGTCAGAGGCGAGGGCGACCGCCGACCGGAGCCGCTGGTGCTCCGGGTGCAGGACTCCGGCCGAACGCAGCTCCAGAAACCGCCTGCCAATGTGGCGCCCAGAAGGCACGAGAGATGCAGCCGGCAGCAAGGCGCGGACGCGCCGGACAGGATGGTCTCCTGCGCTCATGCTCCTCGGCTGGGTACTACCAGAAGCGCCGCAGGGGTCGAGCCAAGTGCACAGCCGTCCACGCTCAAGACGACGACGGCGACGGCCGGCCGAGGGAACCCGATGACGCAGGGGCGGTACGGGACGCCGTCGACGGCACCACCGACGACAACGGCCTCGCCGCTCATAGTGCCAGGGACGCCGGCGTCGGCGGCGATGACGCCGGGGCGGCCGGTGTGGCAGAGGAGGATACTGATGGGGATGCGGTGCGAGCTGCCGCGCTTCAGCGGCCTCCTGCTCTACGACGAGCACGGCCGGCCGGTGCACATCGCCACCCCGGGCCGAAGGAACCACCGCCAGGTATGAAGACTAAGCTTGCCTTTATTTACAACATATAGTTGCTTGAGTCATACGGAGTTCAGATTGATGTACTACGTTTTGACCTGTTTTTCTCCAGGGGAAGAAGAAGGCTGCCAGTGCCAGGACACCTTCCACCACAACTCTCAGGGACCTCCAATAGTTAGTTTGTTTGTTGCGACCAGTTGAGAGAATCTGAAGGAATGCTCTGCTGTAAAACAACAAACACAAGTCATGTGCATATGTGATACTTATATGAAATGGACTCGTTCATCATAAAAGATAACGACCCCAATAACGCCCCGAAAGTTCGGAATCTGACCATGGCAAATCAAATGTTCTCGACAGCAATTTTAGCAACGCCAGGCGTGCGTGTCAACTAAACTTCCCATCCTCGCGTCATTAAAATTGCCACTGAAAACGTTCGATTTACCGTGGTTCGGCCAAAAGGCCTTGCTTTACTGACCAAGCTTCTCATGTGATAAGACGATCTTATATTATGGGGCAGAGGGAGTAGTTAATTATGTCATATCACATTGTTGTAGACCAAGAATTGGTCGTGCAGGCAGGTTAAGGTTAAGGCCCGGCCTCCTGTTTAGCTCTGCTATGAAGTAAGCACAGCAACCCAGACAAGAAGCAAACTGAAACTGTGAACCCAGACACCTAAATGCCACGCTGCCTGACAGCACGCAATGCACATTGCAATCAATTAGGAGAGATGGGATACTTCTTTGCACATCAACTAATACACAGGCTGGATAAAAAAGAAAAAGGAGAGAGAGCCCCAACTCAACACTACCCAACAACAACAGGCTATATATGATTTCCCGCATGCTTCCTCCACTAGGCTTCTGTTTCTCTTCAGTCATCCCCAGCACATTCCAGCCATGGAGCCTGTCTAAAATCCCGAACCCGCGACCGGACCGGCGATAAGCGACGACGACGCCGTTGCACTTCCCTCCCCCCACCCCCACGGTGTCATGTCATCGGAGCCCGGCGGGGAGGAGACAGCCGTCCGCCGCGGCTGGCTTCTTCCGTTCTTCCGTCAGATCATCAGTGTCTATACGCGAGCAACGACACAGTTAGCGAGAGCTGGCATACATGGTCAAGGGTCATCGATCACTTCCCAAATCTCAAGCACTTGTTGTGTTTCACTTCGCCCATGCTCGACGGCGGTACCTGGGGCGCCTTTGTCGCTCGCTCCTTCGCCAGCTTCTCCATCGCGTTCACGAACTTCCGCAGGTGCCGGATGTACTCGGGGTACGTCTCCAGGTTGCAGTGGCCGCCGCCTTTCACCCACAGCGGCTCGTACTTCTCCTTCGCTAGCTCCCATAGGTGCTTGCCGTGCGAGAAGTCGACGATGTCGTCCGCCGTTCCCTGACATGTGATTCAGCAGGTCCAGATCAAACAAAAACCCAGCTGGGAGTGACCGTAAAGCATATCATAATCTTGAGTCTTGGCACAAAGATAGTGTAACCATAAACATTTTGAATTTCAGTTAATTAGACGTTTAAATAAAATATTTACGTCTGCATTCTGAGCAGGTTTCATGGGGGACATCAATAACCACAGATGTTCCATATGCATCAGGAGTTCAGTACACCACCACCAACAAGTTCTTGTGGTGGGAAGGACTATCATATGTTTTTTTTATCTATTTTTGTAATAGTTTCAAAGGCGGAGAAGATAAGCTTCCTTTATGGAAAGGAACAAAATCATAGGAGTTCCATCAGAACACACAAATCAATGAGATAGACTTGATATGAGAAAAAGATGACTGGACATCAATGCAAAAGGTAAGTGAGTCCCTACTCACATGTATAACCAGCACTGGACATTCGACCTGCTTTATTTTGTCGATGTTCTGCAAACATTGGCAGTAAGGTGATGATTAGGAGAATAAACGACCGGCATTTCAGAACCAAAGTGAAAAAGCGTAGAACCCAGACTTACCTTGAAGATATCAAACCAAAGTGTCACTTTCACTGGATACAAAACGCGTATGCCTGACAGAATACCGCTGTGAAGGACGACCCCTCTTAGTTTCTCCAAACGTGAGGCCAAGTGCAACGTCGGTCCGCTTCCAACTGATTGCCCATACAGGATCAGATCCTCTTGCCCTATCCCATACTCCTTTTTCAAACAGTCATAGACAGCCTCTATGTCGTAGTACGTGTTATACTCCGATGGCTGTCGAAGCGGAAAACAAGATCGAGAAAAGGAGCGTAGTTAGGTTTATGTGTATTCCACACAAGGAAAAATGTAGCACTCAGCTACCTAATCTAAGTGCATACACATGAACGTGTCTACTATCATTTACTCTGTTATAACTCCAATTGTCTCCCATGAAAGTGTACAACAGTTCACAAAGCTATGTATTGCATATGGGAACAAGCACACATGCTATAGTTCATTATCTGATTGGCCAAAGGAAGGTTTTGAGTAGGGACCGATAACCGATGAGTGTTGGGGCTGTTGGTCCCTTACTTTAGCAACTTTGTCAAAAGGATGACAACCAGAACAAAGGTAACATCATGGACTAGAATAGCAGAAAGCGAGTATGACTTTTGGGGTGTTTGTAGTGCATATGAATGAAAAAGCATGACCAACCATTTGCCGATGTCCTTTTATAGATGAGGCCAACAAAGATAGGAGTGGCTCATAATTATTATTTGCTTTTAAGAAAGGGTGCCCACACACCTATCGAAGAACACAAAGTTGATTATGGGAAAAGGATAGGGAGCGATGCAATCCAATAGTTGTCAGTAATTGATGAAACTGTGGCACTATCATATATACAGGAGACATCATGATCACAAAATTTGAGAGTTTATGTAGGAATGCGACGTGACAAAAAAGACAGCTTAACTGCAGATTTAAGCAACAGGAAAATCGCGTTCGAGTTGTTATAATTACTTGGGAATTCAGATTCTTACTTTTCCTGTAGAGGCCCCATATCCTGAATAGTCATAGCTGCACAGGAAAACCAAGTAAACAGATTTAGTAGATTCGTCGGAGTAAAATCCCGTCAGCAAGATCCACCAGGCAAGAAATCTGCAGTCCCATCAGATTCAGATAGAAACTACTTTTCAATTGGTGTAAAATACTCAAAAGTCTCAAAAGTCAAGCAGTAGACATCAACAAGATCCACCAGACACGAAATCTCACGAATATGAGATCTGCCAATATCCCATAGAAAACGCAAATTTGAAGATCTATTGGAGTGCCCACCAAAGGGAACATGCAGGTTGTCATCTGCAGTCCAACCACCACAAGGAAACAATGGTATACTACTACAATACTCAGCACTCTCAAATCTTCGATTCCTTGTAGTAAAACACAGCACCAAATGGACAAATCTATATGCCACATACGAAGTGACGTTTGAACGCTCATAGTCATTGGCAGATCGATGGCCACTAACAAGACTGACCGACTGACATTGCTGAAAGCAACAACAGCAGAATAGCACCCGTAGGATAGGAGAAATCGTCAGCATCAGAGCAGAACCTGATGATATAGTACAGACTGGTACTACAATAATTGAAGCCGTTGAAAAACCTGGGGTCTTCTCTCCGGATTAATTATAACCCCGGACCTAGTACTAATCAAAGGCAGGCGACTGGCCGTTTGTTTCTACCCCGGAATTGTGACTAGGATAGGATATCGTTGGAGCAGATTATCTCCACGAAGAAGCAAAACCCAAATTGTGTCTGAATCAAACTTTAAGAAAAAAAAAATGGAAGCAGGCTATATATTCAGCAGAGGAGTGATGAAACAGAGAAACAGATCTTCGCCAGGTCAATCAGAAAATTCCGAACGCCACCTAATTCATTGTTTATTCCCGGTTGGCTGACTAGCAGACGACAAAGATGAAGCTCCGATTAAATCCTCCTCGAACCGGATCAGCATGCGTTGATGCCAGAAAACAACTCCAGATACGGAATATTACGAGGAATACGACCAGCAACAGCCTGCCAAAATCCAGTCGGAAGGAGGCTGTGCGGAGGAGCTGCGAGATATTGACGAACGCAGAAGATGAACCTGAACATCGGTTGCGCAGGTCGCAGGTGAATGCAGGAGCATAACCCACATGATGTTGAGGGAAACTGGAGGCTACGGAGGAGGGGGAGGGAGAGGGGGAGACGGGACGGGGTGGGGTGGGGTGGCTGACCACATGATGTTGACGCGGAGGTGGGAGCGGAGCTCCATGAAGAGGCCGAGCATCTGGCCGAGGTCGGCGGCGTTGCCGTGGGAGTAGAGCAGCGTGAGGCGCGCGGAGGGGTAGCGCCAGAAGGCGGCGACGACGCGGGTGCCGGCCCTGGTGGGCAGCGCGTGCACGTCGACGTTGGCGTCGGGGAGCACCCCCGTCATCCGCAGCCCGGCCCCGCCCTCCGCCGCCGCCACCTCGTACGTCGCCGGCTCCGGCGGGAAGAAGGCCAGCCGCGCCGCCACCGACGACGTCACGTTCCCCATCCCCTCGGGACTCCGCCCCCGCCTCCGCCCTCCGCCCTCCGGGAACGGCTGACTGGCTATTCCTGGGGGCCTCGGAATTCCGCAACGTGAGAGCCGGCCAGCTAGCGCTCCGCGCCTCCGCTTATGAGGGAGGCGCCCCGCTCCTTTTGGCCGGGCCTCCTCTCTCTCGCTCGCTGGCTCTGCTTTCGGTCTGGTTTGGTTTGGTCTGGTCTGGTTGTGTGGCGTGTCGAGGGAGGGGAGGGAGGATGGATGGGAAGGTTGGGTTTGGATGCCATGCTGCTGCTGCTTTCTACCAGTCCACTTCCGTTTCTCCTTCTCTTGGACGGGCGCGTGTAAATGCGGGGAGAAATGCAGGTGGGAGACAACGAGAGATCCTACTCTCCGGCCTGTACGGGAGTCGACGTACTCACAGTACGGAAATACAATGAAAACTTTTTCTGCCGGTTTGAGAAATGTTTGTGATTTCTCTCGTCCAAATTTAAGAAACGTGCATTGTATGCCCTCTTTGGTTCATAATACTCCCTCCGTCCCGAATTAAGTGACGCAGGAGAGAATTTTTTTGCACTAATGTCAGTTTTACACTATAGTCTAGTACATTTCAAACTTTGTCTTCAAGCTCCCTCCACCTCAACGATCCTTAGCACCTCGCCGGGGCAGGATCTCGCCAACACATCCTCTTCCTGCTCGCTTCCCTCAAGCTCCTACTGGCGCCCCTCAAATCTCCCTCCTGAAGCTGCTCGAGCTCGAGACTCTGCTTGCACTCCAGGATCTGCTTGCCAGAGATCCTTCTCCCCCTGCCGCCGGTGGAGCTCCTGCCCCATTGCGTCCTCAAGGTCCCGCTCGAGCTGGAGGCTCTGCTCGCCGGATCACCTCCCCGCCTGCCTCCTGCTCGAACTCCAGGCTCTGCTCGCCGGAGCTCCTTCTACCCCTGCCGTCAGTGGAGCTCCTGCTCGCCCTGCCCCACGGCCCCTGCAATTCACTACACTCCAGGGCCGAGGCTCTAGGCTCATGGTGCTTCTCCTCCACAGCACCTGCAGTTCACCTTTTGCAAATTTAGACAGAATTTGGTGATTCCAGCAGCAACTCAATTTTAGAGGTAACTTTCCCTGAGATAAAAAAAATGACTGCATGCATAATTTCAGATGGACTAACAAGACAGGTGGCTAGTACAGTGATAGTCAAATTTATGTGTGCTCGGCAATCAAAAAGTGGATTTGCTACAACAATTTTCAAGGATACAAAAACTAGAAATATGAAAATAGTCGAATAATAATTGCAGGTAAACCCCAATGCCACTTATAAGGTGGTAATATGAAAACAGAGATGCAAGAGTATTTTATAACCTAGCTAATGCTCATGTCAGTCAGGTTTGTAAGGGTGAAGTAAAATGCTCATAGTTACAGTTAAAGGATTTCTTGGTGTTGCCGAGCTGCATGCAGGAGAGCTTGATGATCCTCTTCCCCCACATCCACTTGAGCAGGATCTTCATGTGGGTCTTGTTGTTCAGGCCGTCGATCGCAGCATCCTGTTCATGTTGGATCGTCAGATAATTTTCATCAGCGCAATCATTTGATTAGAGATAAGAAGTGGTATGGCATGAGCTCTGAATCACAAGCTCTTGATTAGATATAAACAGTAGTACTGCATGAGCTCGAAATGCTGCAACGATAAGCATGTCCTAACAGTACTAGTTAGAATGCCAGAATGTGAGAATGGATAAACAGATGGTCAATGTCCAGAAGGACAGGACATTCCCAAGCGATTCAATAAAACATAACAAACTCGTGAAGTAACCACATTGAGCATCTACTCCCTCTTTTCCGCATTTGTTTTTCCATCAGACACGGTTTGTCCATCAAGTTCTTTTGAAACTTGCAGAATATAATCATCTTTCTTTTGTTTTTAGATACCAAAAGGCTATTGAAGAAATCACTAGGCGAATGGGAGCAGGCATGGCTAAATTTATTTGCAGGGAGGTTTGTTAATCTAGATGACCCAATATACTCCAACAGTTTGAAGAAGCAGCAGCAGTTTACTCCAAAAGTTTGAAGCAGCAGCAGCAGCACTCCAGAAATAGCAGCAGCACCCATGAACATCACCACCAGCAGCAACAGCTACACCAGCAGCAGCAGTAACCAGCACATACCTGTAGGTAGTTTTTCAAAATATTCAGTTAGATTTACTGTCAAAATTCAGCGAACATTTAGTTAAATTTACTAATTTGAGTAAATTTATTGCTTAACAATACCTTGCTGAAATAGCTAGATGACTCTTTGCATGATTTACCCTTTGCAATAGCTAGATGACTTACCATTTGCTCCTTATTTAACAGGAGACGAGATGTTGCTGGATGAGGAAGAAGAAATTCATCGGGAAGCAATAAGACTCAGTGAACCTGTCACATAAGGAAAGATTTGTTGTTTATTTTGCTTTGAAAGTGATCAAGAGCAGAGATGGAGCTATTCAGCCAGAGGACAAGATACTCATTGCAAGCCTATTGAATACAGGCATACGAACTGTTGAAAGAATATGGAAAGATGCAAATAAACAAATTGCAGAAGGCCAAGAAGTGGTTGTCGCAAGCAAAAGACCAGGTAGAGTTGGAAGAAAGAGAAAGAACTTGGATCTGTCAAGGGCATCGACAATCCCACTCAACAGAAGGAGAACAGTTCGAGCTCTAGCAAAGTCTCTTGGTATTCCCCGCTCAACCCTACACAGGAGGTTCAAGTTAGGTGAGCTGAAGCGTGTCACTAGCACCGTGAAGCCTACCCTCAAGCCAAAGAATAAGATTGCAAGACTGAAATTTTGCATGTCCATGCTCGATGAGCTTTGGATCTCAACTCCATGTCCTCTTTTCAAGCCAATGACAGACATGATCCATATAGATGAAAAATGGTATGATATGACACGAGTGAATAATACGTACTATCTACTCCCAGAAGAACATACACCTGAGCGCCCCGTGCCAAATACGGACTACATTGGCAAGGTCATGTTCCTGACAGTTGTGGCCAAGACAAGATATAGTGATGATGGGGAGGTCATATTTGATGGCAAGATCGAGACTTGGGCCTTCGTCGAAGAGAAGGCGGCAGTCAGAACGAGTCAAAACAGAGTTAGGGGAACTAAAGAACTGAAAAATGTGAAAGTGAACAGAAATGTGATGAGGGATTATCTATGCAACAAGGTGATCCCTGCTATACAAGACAAATGGCCTGACGAATATATTGGAAGAACCATCTATATACAACAGGATAATGCCAAGCCACATGTCCTGCCTAATGACGTGGGTTTTCAAGAGGCTGTAGCACAAACGGATCTTGATATTCGGTTGTTACAACAGCCACCCAACAACCCCGATATGAATGTTTTAGACCTATGCTCGCACAATTCTCTTCAATCCCTAACTGATTGCTTATCACCTAAAAATATTCAGGAATTGGTAGAAGGTGTGGAGGAACAGTTCGAGAACTATGAGGTTCATAAGTTGTTTATAAGCTTTGTGGCACTCCAGGCAGTTATGATTGAGGTTATGAAAAATGAAGGAGGCAATGAGTATACGCTCCCGCATTTGCATAAAGATCGCCATCAAAATGAAGGAAGGCCAGCAATCTTTCTATCTTGCGATGCTCGGCTAGTTGCTGTGACCAAGGCCCTTATAGAGGAAGGAGAGAGAGAGAGAGAGGAGTGAGGGAAGGAGAGATTGAGAGGAGTGAGGGAAGGAGAGAGAGAGGAGTTTTATCTTGTGTATTGTTATATTCAGATAATTGGAGAAATGTGGAGTATTGTGCATGTCTTGTCTTGTTTATTTAAATTTGTTGGAATTATTAGAATTTGGAGTATTGGATATTGATGATTATCTACTCATGGATAGTGCTACTCCATGGAACTTACTCATGTAAACAGAGCATCCAGGAGCAGCAGGATTGCACATAGTAATTAGCCTAGTACTCCAGGAGTAATTGTACTCATCTAGGAGTAAACAGAACATCCACCACACAGGGCCATCATAGCAGTACACACAAACCATAAACTAAATGCTAAATTGACAAGTTCCATGTTCTTGTGTGCTTGACCCAGCCAACCATCCTACTGAAATGAAAAAGGCAGAGCCATGTTCCATTTTCCTAACAAATGGCCTATTAACTCCCATTTCAAGTGAACTCCCTCTGCGCCCAGTTGACCCCCATTCCCCCTATATTATCCCCCATGTAATCTTTCTTCCTTGTGCAAATGAATGGAGGCAAAATCTAATGAAAACTGGCAGGTCAGTTTGAGGTTTTGAAACTGAATGTTGCTGATTTCTTCAGTTTCACTTTTAGGGAAGTGTGGACGTATGCATGTAGCTTCTCTTCTCGTTGTATGCTGCTAGACTAGCTTGATTGTGCTCAGTAGAAGAAGCAGTGCATCAACAGGAGCAACAACGCATGAGTTTGAATCATAGGACAGAGAAGTGGGAGGAAGAACTTACTAACAGTGGCTGTAGCCAATGTAGAACACAGATCGGCAGCAACACTAGCGCCACCGCCGTCCCTGCATGGTGAGGAGGAGCACCAGGACACGCCACCGGATCGAGCTTCGCTGCCACCGGATCTACAACGCCGCCACAGGATCTGGCACTTCCGCCACCGGATGTGTCAAAAAATTGAAGCTTTTTCAGCCACCGAGTGCTGGAGGTGGAGCACGAGGCGAGGTGAGGTGAGGTGGGGGCAAGGTGCAGCTCCCTAGAGCCATGAGGAGCGGAGGCGAGGAGGAGGATGGGAGGACGGTGGGCAGGAGGGCGGCGGCGAGGAGGACGGGAAGAGGACGCGGGGGGAGACGAGTGACGCATGGGAAGACGAGTGATGCAGGGGAGGAGATGAGTGACTGCAGGGGTGGGGGGACTCATTTGTGGTTAATTAAAACGGTGGGGTTGTTTTTGCAAATACACCGCCGCGTCACTTAATTCGGGATGGAGGGAGTAGAAAATTTTCTATGGTGACACTATGCACCTTCTTTAT